TCCATAACTTTCCAGATCTGTCTGTTAACCTTGCGCCGAGCCTGGTCGATGCATCTGGGATCCCCCAAGTTGCACCATACATGCCGTACCACCATAGCCATACAGCCCGGAAAATCTACAACAACTAAAGTCCCACAAAATATTATTTTATGAGTGTTCTTGGATAATTAATAAGATAATCTAAATACATACAAACAACCTAAACAGAACAGAAATTCTTATATGATCATATAAAGCTAACTTACTCCAAGATTGAGACTGACAATAGTTTACGTAAGGTCCCTTAGTGAGCTAATGGCAGAGATAACATTTGAACCAGGAACTTTTGGATTCATAGATAAGTCTTAGCCGCTACGCTAAATCAGTTTCCATACTTTTCTAAGACAAGTTAGCATCACTAACTTATGTTTTATCACGTTTCTTAACCACTGTTTTACAGCAGGCTATTAACAAAGGCATGTGAGTAAACCAAGAAAAACAGAACATGAAACTGCCTTCCAGTGCAGCGAGTGCAGCTCCTATTAGTCTGCTTGCTGTCAACAAACAAGTTGTTGGGAAGACCAACCATGCCATCCTAAGCAGGGTTACACCTTTCTATGTCCACTGAAATCACTGGGCTTAAAAAGCTGTAATTTTGCTTAGGATGGCATAGCAAATCACTATCTCTGCAAAAGAAAAATGTGATCTAATTTCAAAATAAATGAGCTCAAACCTTCAGTCCGAAAAGAACAAGTATAGCCCCCACAGTCAGAATAATGAGACGGACAACAGTTTGGATCAAACAAGGGCCACTTTATTAACTATATTTTATTAACCAAAAAACGGCAAGGGAGCATTTTTTAAGTAGTGGAACAGACAAGGCAGGTGTCAGGATGACTAGCCTCCTTGTAGTATGTAGGCGAGCCACCAACCCTGGTCTTGAGCCATTAATCTGGCTTGCGACCAGCAGCCCAGCCACTGGTAGCCTCCCAGGAGCGCTTACCCCTGAAACCATACAGCTTGCAGAGAGGAGCTTACCCAAGAGGTTCCCAGAGGGAATCATCATTCACCGCCCTGGGCCTTAATAATCCGCAGGCCATTCCTGAAGACCCCCCAGTTCCCAAAACAAGGAACGGCTTAAGGTGCTCACTATTTCCGCTTCCTTATCCCTGCACCATTCTGCCACTCACAAAGTCAAGCCTCTGCTTTGGCTGACGCGGCCACCCAAAGCGACCCTGATCCCTTGCCGAATGTCCTCCAGAAATAACTTATTTCCCTCGTTTGACAAGTGAATACCGTCCTCCCTATAGAGGTTAGTCTTTCCGACCACTATTCCAGGGTGTGGTAAATATTGACCCAGACCACCTTCCATAACTTTCCAGATCTGTCTGTTAACCTTGCGCCGAGCCTAGTCGATGCATCTGGGATCCCCCAAGTTGCACCATACATGCCACGGCAAAATTGCAGACCAAATTACTTGCACCCTGGGCCATCTTGCCCGTATCAGTTTCAGGTCTTCTGTGGCCTGGATAACCAGGGCCCTGCCTTTCATCAGGCCAAGATCATTGCCACCCAGGTGCACCAGTAAAATATCAGGAGGCGGCCCACACCATTCCTCAAACAATAGGGGGAGTAACCTGGGCCAATGCATGCCCCTCCTTCCCCACCATTCAACCAACAGCAACTCACTCAGCCCCAACTGAGAACCAAACGTCGTCCTCTTGGCCTGATGAGCGGCCCAAAAAATCATACTGTGGCTGCAGATAGTGACTCTTCTCCATGCCTGCCGGCCCACAGCACCTGCAAAAGAACTATTTTAGAAGCTGGTCCACTCAAAACTTGCATTGACGTACATACACCTTACATCTACAGGATCTCCATCGTCCAATGCCTTGTATGTCTTCCCCCGAATACCTCATGGCAGCCGCCGTGGAAGCGGCTCCAATTCTAAATGAATGGGTCCCAAAACGGAACCCGCCTAGCCCCAATTGATTAAGCACTCTCCATGTCAGTGTCCAAAATTGAAATTTTGTGAGAGGGGATCCATCCCTATGCTGAAATAATGTACTGTCCCTCGACCCCCTGAGACTCAGGTAATGGCACAACGCCACCACCGGGCATATTTTAGCTTCAGAACAACGGCCCAATTCTATTAATGAACCCTTACCCCCTTGATCAGTCTTTGACCACCGAATAGTAATGGCCAAACTAGCCCCTCAGACCTTGATGTCAGTAAATCTTATAGCCCTGTTTGAAGTGTCACTCCGTGAAGCAGGAACGAGCTCGCTAATATGCAGAGCTCCAAAAAATGCTATTAACGAAGCGGAATGAAATAGAGCAGCCTCGTATTCATTAGCACAAAGGCCGGGCCACAAAGCCCGCAGACCCCCTCAACACCGACGGAGTCAACGGCTCCCTGTCATCACGAGGTTGTCCTGCTTCGCGGGACCACCCGTTCAACATCTTTTTGACACGGAAATCGGTCGTCCTGTCCGCAAGCCCAGCCGCTTTCGCCGTGTAGGCCAGGGAAGACAGCCTGGCCCTTATAGAGCGAACTGACAAGCCCTTCCTCTTCAGATAGACGCAAAACTGCATGAGTTGGGGAACTGGGATGGGCCAAACATGCCGTAATCCTGCTTCTTGCCTAATTGTTGACCCGCCCTCATGTATACATTCTGCATTGAAGGAGCGAGGGCCAAACCTATTGCCCATTCAGCTTCAAGCCTCCAATCTGCCAAAAACTGGGAGGCATCCTTACCGGGCACTCGTCCGCTTCCAGGGCCAGCTGACGGAATCTTGCCATCTGTTTTCGAGAGAGAGCATCAGCGACCCCGTTACTCACACCTGGAACATGCCTAGCGTGAAACAATATATTATTCCTCAAACATAGCAATGTAAATGCCGTGACTAACATCATGACCCGTGCTGATTTGGATGATAATGAATTTATTACGTATACTGTGGCCTTATTGTCACACCAGAAGTGGACCGTATGGCCAGCAAAATCAGCTGTCCAAATCCCCACTGCTACCACAATCGGGAAAAACACCAAAAAGGTTAGGTCCTTGACCCAGCCTGCCCAGAACCAACCCTGTGGCCAGTCCTCAACACACCAATGCCCTCTGGAGTATACCCCGAAACCCGAGGAACCCGCTGCATCAGATATGACCTGCATCTCAGCTTCTAACTGCAAATCTTCCCTCCAAAATGATACCCCATTAAATGAGCATAAAAACTCCCTCCAAAGCAAGAGATCCTGTCGCACCCCATTAGTCACCCTGGTCCTGTGATGCGGGAGGCGCAGGCCCCGCATAGCATCACAGAGCTGCCTGACAAACGCCCGACCCGGGGCCACCACTCTGCATGCAAAGTTGGGATGGCCCACCAACTGCTGCAGCTCGTAAAGTGATATTTTCTTAAGTCCTAGAAATTTCTCCACCAGGACCAGAAGGCATTGTAACTTGTCCAAAGGGAGCCTAGAGCACTGTTGAACTGTGTCTATCTCAGTACCTAAATAAGTCAAATTGGGTGTCGGGCCTTCAGTATTTTCCTCTGCAAGGGGAACTCCCAGCTCTGCCGCCATTTCTATGAAACTGGACAGTAAAAATTCACACTGCCGGGTCCTACCACGTCCCGCAAACAAAAATTCGTCCAAATAGTGAGCCGTAGAGCTCAACCCGGTCTGCGAACGCAAGGCCCATTCTAAAAAAGGAACTAAACCTCTCGAATGCCGCACAAGACACCACACAGCCCTGTCCATATAGTAATATCCCTCACAAGCAAAGTATAATAGGTCAAAATCTGCAGGGTGAACTGGCAGAAGCCTGAAATCCGACTTAATATCACACTTTGCTAATAGTGCGCCCCGGCCACAAGCTCGCACTACCTTCATGGCCTGGTCAAAGGACATATATTTCACTGAACAGAACTCCTCCGGTATAGCATCATTCACAGAACCGCCCCGAGGGTACGATAAATGATGAATGAGGCGGTACTCCCCGGGGGCCTTCTTTGGTACAACACCCAAAGGAGACACCCGTAAATTAGGCACTGGGGGGGAGAGAAAAGGCCCTAGCACTCTCCCTGCCTTACATTCCTTCCCGATTTTATTTCGGACTATACTTTCCAACCTTTTTACTGACTTCAAATTGGAAGCCCAAAAGGGTCTGTTCCCCTTGAAAAGGGATCCTGAACCCAAATGAAAATCCTTCAACTAAATACCTACTGTCTTGTTTGTTCGGGTAATCCCGCAACAAATCTCCTAACAACCTCACTTTAGTTGGGCTGGGCCCCTTTATCAGTAGCGGCCCCATGGCCTCCTGCCCCATCTGGACGCTTGCCTCCCCTTGTTCCAAAACGCCCTTTCGGTTTGGGGAAATCAGAAAGTGGATGAGGCCCCGCGCACAGGGGGCACTCATGCCGAAAGGAACAGGACTTCCTATTACAAGTCCCCTGAGAGGTAAACTCCCAACACAGCGGGCGCCTCTGAGTCGCGGTCCCAACCTGTGCTCGGGCAGGGTACTGACTTTGCAAGCGGTGTGCCACGTGACCGCTGTCCGAGTGTTCAGCAGCTGTCGATTTAGGTGTGGACACCACTTGCAGCCACAGATGGGGATAGATCAGGTCCCAGCGTAAGACGGGATTCATCGCCGCCCTCGCGCAAAAACCCTTATCATACTCCATCCATGCCTGCCCCGTAAAACCCGTAAAGGCTTTATAAACAATATCCAAGTATTGCAAGTATTGCAAAAATGTGTTCTAATTTCAAAATAAATGAGCTCAAGCCTTCTGTCCGAAAAGAACAAGTAATCATTCAAGATATTAAACTGTGGCTTTTTTGTTTTAAAACCTGACCTTTTTGCATGCCCCAGTTGATGAATTTAAAAGAAACAACATGGGAGCAACTGTGGGTACAGCCTCAGTAATCGACAAGTTGCTTAAACTTGTTGGAAGCAGTTATTCAGACTGGCATTCTCTGAGTCTACTTTGTATGTTTTAATGTGTCTGTCTGTGTGTTTCAGATTAGCTTTTATGAAACGATATGCCAACATATACAGGCTGGTAACAGTTGTGAGAAGCTGGTGGGCTACTCTGCAGTGTATCGAGTGTGTTTCGGAATGGCCTGCTTCTTCTTCATCTTTTTTTTGCTCACAATCAAAATCAACAGTAGCAAGAGCTGCCGTGCGTACATCCACAATGGGTGAGCTGGATTGGGTGTCTCTTAAAAATTGTTTGCAGAAAATAAAAACTAAGCTTAAAGTGAAGGCCAGCTGCTTTTTCTCACAGTCTTAATATTGGTTTCTCATGCCTTCTTTACTTCCTACTCTCTCTTTCCTTTCTTTCCCTGTGGCATATTTTGCAAAAGAAATGGTATGTCCTTGCCTCTTGAGGAGACTCCTCATACATCTGTAGACTGTAGTACTGAACAGGCAATAATAGCAGTGCTCACTAATGCCATTTCTCTTTGTCATGGTATGTTTACCCATCTCCTTTTCCTCCTGTGTCTGTATTAATTTTTGCAGGCTTCTTGTCTGTTCTCTAGATTATGATCCAAAAAAATATTTCTCACTGAGACTCACGACGGGTTATGCAATAAAAACAATTAATTCATACAGTAAAAGACAGCATAATAACAATGCAATAGTACAGAATTAAAAGACAGTGCAAAAAAGTAGACTGCCTAGGGCGAAGTATACTAAAAACAATGCAGTAGGTGAAGTTGTAAAGGTAGAAGATAATTCAGTAAATGTACATTCTAGGTGAATTTTAAATGTGGCTTGCTCAGAGTTGGTGATTTAAGGAGCTAACAGTGCTAATATTGTGCTGCTATGTAGTTGTATCGCACCTTCTGCAATGTGATAGTGGTAGTAGTGTTATTGGTCCAGTGGTTCCTAGAACTACTCTTGTCACTCCCTGTAACAATTTCCAGTAACTACATGAGGCTGTATGTTTTAACATATTTCTCCTGCAACAGTGCCCCCTCCACAACCCTCCCACTTGTCGCTGAGCACTGACTGGCAACCCTAACCTGTTCCATTCTTATCTAAAACCCCTTGTAGCAAGACCTTGTTTGTTCCGTATCCCTTCCTGCACACCAGGCAAGCCTTTTTTGGAACTAGGGATTGTATGTATTTATTTACTTATCTCATTTATAGTCTGCCTTTCTCACCGACTTAAGGTGAAAAAGCAGAATTCACATAAGAATGCACAAGTTATTTGCCTGTCTGGATTTTCTTTTGCATTTAGGAAGGCATTGTAGAGAGAGTTGTTCCCCCTGTAATTCTCACACAGGGCAACCACTGAGCAATCTCTTGTTTGAGCATGTGATTTTTTACAGCTAAGTAAATCCACTTCTCTGTTTTTGTTTTTTTCCTTCCCCAGATTTTGGCTGATTAAACTTCTCGTCTTGGCAGCCATGTGCTCAGGAGCCTTTTTCATTCCAGACCAGGATACCTTTCTTAATGGTACAAACTTATTCTTTTTCTTCTTCTTGGTCTTCCATATGCAGGTATCAGTTTAAAGCAGCTAACTGGATAATCTTAACTTAGTTATACACTATTATCTTTCATGTGCCTACTAGCTGTTGATGAGTAAGAGAGAACAGCTATAGTACAGTGTTGTGTTTGCCGGTTATTTCCTTCTGAAAGAGACAAGCAAAGGGGAAAGTGGAATGGCCAGAACAGGAAATGAGTATCTATTCCCCAGACACAGGTGGACATGGTGGGGGAAGGGGTGTGTGTGAGATGCCAGCGTGCAGGAAGGAGAACACAAAAACAACTGGTGCACTGCTACCACTGAGGATTAAAACTGTAGACAGTAGAACTTGGAAACTGTGAAGCACAAATATGTCCTCTCTACGCTTCTTCCCATGCATAAGTGGTGGCATTAATATATGAATGTTTGCTGGTTGTGTGATGTGCAAAACCCTCTCTACCCACCTTGTTCTGTATTGCAAAGTATTATACAGTACCTTTATCCATGTAAGATATTTCTGGGCAGCAAAACTCCAGTGAGAACTAGAGAAATGAGTCACTCTGGAATGTGCAGAACCTTGTTGGTATGTCAAGCTGTTATAATTAGCTCATTGAACAGACAATTTGCTTGCAGGGATTAATGTTTTGTTCTGTTTTTCATATGGCACAATTAGAACGAAGGAACTGAAATACAAACTGCACTTGAGCTAGTGCATCTAACAAAACAGCAGGGACAGTGGCTGAAAACAATTGGGTTAGGTTCCAATTTAATGATATGTCTTGATTGCAGAATTAGATTTGTTGCCGAGCTTCCATTTCATTATTGTAAAGACATGTATCTGAATTAGTGACTAGTAATTAAGGTAATTTGTTATAGTGCTATAAATACTGGCAGGTAGTGTCCAAGCTCTCCAGAAAGTGCAAAATAAGAGTGCTCTAGCAGTTGATCTCCTTGCAAATGTGATAGTTTTTTATTAATACAAATATTAAGCAGATTGCAGTTTAAGCCAAATTTTAAGCAGTTGCAAATGCACTGCTCTTAGGATCAGATGTTCCTCCTAAGATGTGTGAAGAAAAAACTCTAAAGCTCTTTGCTACCAAGATGCACTAATTATGTTGTGGAGGCCATGTATCAGAATCCCTGTACTTGTTCAGGCTTCTGGGCCTTTCTGTCATCTTAAAACAAAGCTCACACTATTCGTTTACAGTTCCTTTTGCTCTCTGGTCATTTAACTCACAGGCAAAGAGGCGAGAGAGAAGAGAGAGCCAACAGTGCTGGCACAGCGCAAGTTACCAAGCCTTGTAATGGATCTCAGCTACAGTGAACTCCTTCTCTGTTGGCTAAAGTGATTAGTCATGATTCAGCTTCGTTATCTGCTGCCAGACCTATCGTAGTTGCCTGGTTTTGGTTTTGCCTGTGCCTATAACTTCACTGGGACATATCTGAGTACTTCTTAAAACAGGAAGACAAAGGTGTCATGTTGCTGATCATTCAAGCACAATTTCAAGTGAAACATCTAAATGCTGGTTAGATAATTGATAGAAATGTACTACCTTGCATGGACTCTTAAGCCAGGGGCTTGGTTTATATTTCATAAAATGAACGAGGTTTTTTTGAAGTGTCATAAAACTGAAATTTCAGTCTGTGGATACCTATCCAGTTTCAACCACAGACTCTGGCTTGCTGCAGTTTTAGGTTTGACATTGGTTTAGGAAGGCCTTTTCAGGCTTTCATGTTTTACTTTCTAAGGCTCGAGTTCTAAATTCAGCAAGTCGTTATTAAAACTGTAAGTATACAGCTTTGGGCCAGGTATTCCAATTGGATCATTTAATGCCCTGTAACTTTGCAAAATAATTTTTTTCTGTCAGTACAGCTGCATTTTAAGCACTATTTAGGTCCTCTTTGGCATTTAATGTAGTGTTCTATATATTCAGCTTTTTAAAGAGTTAGTTGAATTATTTAATGCTCAAGTTGTGTTTCAGAAATCCCTGGAATTCTTATTCTGGTATGAGCCAAGACCATGAAGTACTTGATTGCAGATAAAATATGTGATACTTCCTTATACAGAGTCAGGCCACTGATGTATGCAGGCATGCATTGTCTGCTCTAACTGGCAGCAGCTGTCCAGGGTCTCAGACAGAGGTCTTTCACAGGACAACTAGAGGTCTGATTCTTTTAACTGGAAGTGACTGGGTGAACTTGGATTTTCTGCATGCCAAGCTGATTCTCTACCAGTGTGCTACAGCCCGTTTGCAACCTTATGGTGGCAACGACATGTAGAAGTGGCTACTGGAGGGGATCATGGACCAGTTCCGTGTGGATCTTCACCACAATTCAGTTGCTTAATGAAGAACCACCATTGTGAAGCAAATAGTTGATTCATATGGGTCAGATCTAACACAGGAACTTCTTATGTCTCCAATAGCTTGGCGCTATGTAGGTGCTGCAGGAGGGTTCCTCTTCATCCTTATTCAGCTTATCTTGCTTGTAGAATTTGCTCACAAGTGGAACAAAAACTGGTTTGTATTTTTACATATATACTAATCTGCCTGTGGTAGCTGTATGTTTTAGCTATGTTCTGGGTTTTTTTCTAATTAAAAATACCATTGTTGTTTTAAATTATTTTTGGCACCAGTCTTTCAGATATCTTCTTTCCTCTTCATTCATGCTGGTTCCTTGATGCCTGGTTTGTGTACATTATTGTTTTAGGATGCTTATGGACTGCTACTTTTCAAGCGAGTATAGCGGTTAAACATGTATAGTGCAGCAGTGACCTGATCAGTCTTTCTGTAGTTCTATATGGTTTGGATTTGCACGATCATTGTCAGAGAAGCGGATGCAATTCTAATGAAATTCTAACATCTTGTGCAAAGGCTCTTGCAGGAGTTAGTAACGTTTGTACCAGTTCTCATCTCTAGAAATTTGCAGTCTTTTTTAATTCTGCCAAGCCAAAACTCATTTTACTGGGGCAAAACTATGGTAGCAATCTTAAGCAGCTGCATTTGAACACTCATGAAACTCCCCTATCCTGAATCAGTCCATTGGTCCATCAAGGTTAGTATTTACTCAGATTGGCCGTGGCTCTCCAGAGTCTCAGGCAGAGGTCTTTCACATGACTCTGCTAGCTGGTCCTTTTAGCTGGAGATGCTGGCAATTGAACCTGGGACCTTCTATGTGCCAAACAGATGCTCTACCACTGAACCACAGGTCCTTCCCTACTTGGAATTCCTTTAGGCCATATCAGTGTTTTGGTCTTGTACCTTGCCTCTTGAAGTGCCATAAGTACTTATTTAAGTAATGTTGTGGGATCTTTGGAAATATCTATGAATTCTTGGTTACAAGACAAGTTTTCTTGACAAGTTATGCAGTATCTTCCAACCACCTGTTACTTGCATTGTTGGTAAAAACAGGTGCCTGTTTGTTGGTGATAGCAGTTCTGTTGAACAAGTTGCTGTAGGAGGATTAGAAGGAACCTTCTTCTGGAGGGCCTGTAAAACTGTTCTTTTTCTTGCTGGGCTTGTTCTGATTTGTATGATTGATTTATCTATTTAAAGCAAACTTCTAGTTTGCAGTGATTATTGCTGTGTTTTGTCATTGTTTTTAGCTGTTTGTGTCAGTCCCTTGAGTGCTGAATGAGGTATACATGCTGAAATAACACCAGAATTAGGCAATGTTAAAATGAACTCACTTCAGTGCATTCTAAGACGAATAGCTGGTATCATTCAGTAGCTTACTTTTTCTCCAGTAAATGTATAACTGGCTTTTATTTCCAAACAGGACATCTGGCACGAAGCACAATAAGCTCTGGTATGGCTCCCTAGCTCTTGTCACTCTCGTATTGTATTCTGTCGCGGTTGGAGCTCTGATTGTGATGGCTGTCTTTTACACACGCGTGAACGGCTGTGATTTTAATAAGATCCTGCTTGGCGTCAATGGTGGCCTGTGCTTGCTTATTTCCATGGTAGCCATCTCACCCTGCGTCCAAAACCGTAAGCAAGCTTTTTGCTTTGGTATTGTTTGTGTTGAGCTCTACTAAGCACTTTCTTGCCAGTATCACAAAGGAATGGATATATTCTGCCTTCTAGCTGAACTTGATCCCCAGTGTGGTCATCCTAGTAGAATGTTGTGCATGTTTAGAACCTGCCCATCTATCTCAGTCTAAAACCAAGCAGCAGTCCCCTCCATGCTCAGAATAGCTTAATGCTCCACCCACTGTCTGTTCTGACAATCCATCCACACCAGGCAGCTGTGTGGTTCTCAGGTTAAAACATTGCTGAGACCCTTTTGGAAATTTATGTCTGTCAAGATTTATTTTGCACACTTTGATTACAAAGGGGAGAGGAGCAAATTGGAGACGGAAATGAGTTGATGGAATGTGAGGGCTTATTCCCCTCTTTCTGCTCAGGTCATCAGTGGAAGATAAATTGAAGCCACTTACAGCTTTCAGGGAGGACAGAGATCAAATCCTTACAATTTATTTACTTTGTAGTTTATCTTGCTGAGACTCAAGACAGATTACAAAGTTGTTTAAAAATGCAATAAAACAGCATCTCCCTTATAAATAAAAGCCAAATGGTGGTGGCACTTCTCTAGAACATTCCACACGCTCCAAAATCAGTTCGCTCTCTGATCTGTCCTTCAGAGGGTCTCCCTATCCACTGGCTACTTTGCCTGAGTCCTGCCTCCAACATTCTAAACATTTTGCTAATCCTCTCCCCCCCCATAGCCAGTCAGAACACAGAGGTTATTAGCATATGCAGCCTCATTGGCCTCTGCCTCGGAACACAGAGGTCGTTTGCATATGCAACTTGATTGGCTTTTGCCTCTAACATTCTAAACAGTTTTGCTGTTCTGAGGTAAAATGTCTCCAATCTCCAGGTGAGGGCTGGAGATCACTCAGAATTACAACTGCTTTCCAGATGGCAGAGATCAGTTCCCCTGGAGAAAATGGTGGGCTCTGTATCCTTATATGCTGCTGAGGTGGCCCCCGTATGACAACCAATGTGACGTAGCAGTCAGGGCTTCAGAGCATGGGAGAGGCTGCAGGTGTGTGGGGGGTGGAAAGCTGAAGAGTGAGGGGGAAATAAAGGTAGGTTGATGATTGGCTGGGAAGGAGATAGGGTTGCCAACTCCAGGTGGGAAATTCCTGGAGAGGTGAGGGATGGAGCCTGGAGAGGGCTTATTCAGGAGGCGTGGGACCTCGGACAGGTACAAAGCCATAGACTCCACCCTCCAAACCAACTATTCCCTTCTGGGGAACCATTGTTGCCAATCTCCAGGTGAGGGCTGGAGATAACTCAAAATTACAGCTGTTCTTTAGGTAGCAGAGATCAGTTCCTCTTGAGAAAATGGTGGACTCAGTGTCATTATACCCTGCTGAGTTTGCCACAGCAAATTGACACTGAGTGTCTAAGGCCGGGGCACCCGCCCAGAGCCTCTTTCTAGAGGCCGTTGTATTTATTTCCACAACTGGCCTTTTTCCTAGTAGTACATAAAACAGACAATGCAATAAAATTCGACTAAAACTTTATTATGTTAATAAATGGGAATGTGAATTGTTTTCAGGCTTCAGAAACTTTCTGAAGAGTCTTCTTTTTAAATCCTAGATCACCCGCATTCTGGTTTATTGCAGTCAAGCGTTATCAGCTGCTACGTCATGTATCTCACCTTTTCAGCACTATCGAGCAAGCCACCAGAAACAAGTAAGCTCCACTGAATTACATTAACAATAATTTCAGGCATGACATGTATGTGGATGGGAGTATGACCCCATGAATTTTATTGTAAATATTTTCTAAATATTTTTATTATACCTTTATATACATCTTCCTGGAACCATTTTATTAACACATCTCTATTTTGCTGGTCTTTGACCATAATAAATATTGTTCATTGATTGTTAATTCAGGGCAATGTAGGTAAACAAGAATTAAAAGCTAAGCTTGGAATCAGCATTGGTCCAATATGAGCATAGGTCTACTTTGGAAGCATCCACCAAATAATCTCTCTAGATCCTGATGCTGCAGGAAGAAACTTGTATTCTGTTGGCGTCTCATTATTAACACAAGGATTGCCCTCCTCTTCACTCAGGCAGGCTGCAAACTAGCTAGCAAAACTGTTCCTATAGTCTTTGCCCAGCTGGGTAGCGTATGTTAGACTAGCTTGAGCAAAGAGCCAGTTAAGCTTCATTCTTGCAAAGTTATTTTTATTCAAATCACCTGCAGGGTGATTGTCACAACCCCTGATCCAGGCCTTTCTCTTGCTATGTTGTATTTCTTGTATTTATTGTATCACTTTGCCAGTAACAAGTCCCTCAGGCTGGAGAGTTGTTTGTGACACACCTCATCACCCACACCCTCTCCCTTTGTATTTTATACATGGTCCACTGTTAACTTTAGGTTTTGGAGGTAAAGTGGATTCCTTTCATTAGTGTGTCTTATTTTAAACACGCACAGGATTCCTTTACCCTGTACAAGAGTGAACATCAGCTACAAATTAAGCTCCCTGTTCTCTGGATCCTACAGCACATGTAGCGGGCTACATAGGTTGAGGACAACATGGGAGGCACATGTATAACTAAACACATAAGTTTATTTAGTTTGTAAGTGTGACCTGTAATGCCTTCCTGGTCTAGCCCGATAACTGCCGCAGTTACCAGAGCTGAGGGGTTCTTTCGGCATGTCAGACTTAAAAGACAATAACTAGAGACTGCTTTTATAGTTACTCTTTTTATTGAGGAATGACACCTAAACCCTTCCTGTCAAAAATCGTACACTACAGTTCGTAGTGGATTTAATGCCTAGTCCAGGATAACTCCTGTCCCTTCTGCCTCCGAAACCCAACTCCTGTTTGCTTGTTTGTTGGTTGGTTGCTGACAATTAAACTCCCCTCAGGTTCCCGCCCCTCACTTCAGCATTCCATTCAGCCTGTTTGAATCTGATTGGCCCATGCTGATGGGGGGCTGGGAAGAGGGTAGAATCTTCTCCTGTCCATCACAAGTGTATTCACCACAAGTGGCTCCTTGAGAAATGCATACAGCTAATTTTATGTGTCCAGTAGTGTTTCTGACTTCTCCTCACTCCCTTGCCGTTCTTAATATCAGCACATTAGAAATATTGCAAGCTGGTTTTGTTTTAAACTTGGGAGCCTTCAAACACAATTTGCAATGCAGGGTGATTGTATGAGAAAGCTTGGCATGCATTATTCTTATTTGTGCCTCAAAGGACTTGCTGGATCACAGCCTAAGATACTTAGCCTGGCGCAGTGCCTGTTTACCCATCTGCTTCCTGCCAAAGGCATTTGTGGGTTAGTGATGAAGAGTGAGACACAACCACCACTGAGCAGGCATTTCTTGGAAACTTGACTACTCTTGACTTTGTTAGCGTTCTTCTCTGCCTTTTAGGCCCATCTCTCAATTTTCATCTGACCTGCTTGTATCTGAGGCTTAGGACACGTGTTCTGGCAGTAGAGTGGCCTTATGTTAAAGTTGTATGGAAATCTTTACAGTTGTTCTCAGTTTGGGGAAATATTAGAATACCTCTAAGGGTAACAGATATATAAAGTATCTGCATACTCGCATAACGTAATGATGTAACTTTTAATATGTGGTTCCTGTCTGCTTCCCTATCAGCATGTTCCTTGAGAGTCCATTTCAGGACGCGGATCTGTCCTGTATTGTTTCATTTATGCCAAGAGTTTCAGTGCCGAATATCATGGCAAGGCATAATGAAGAAAAGGGTGTGATTTTTGAGACCTTAAATTGGTTCCTGTCTGTGGATGAATCAGTAAAGTAAACAATAAAAGAATAAAGAGCAGCAGCACTCCTTGATGTTGAACTTTGCCACTGAAATCTATGCAGGATCCAGTCTCATAATCACAATTTCCAAAAACAGCCATGCTAATCTTGAATTGATTTTTTTAAAGTCCTAGATGAGAATCAGAACAACATCACAATCTGTGTACCTGAATTTAACCATGGGCTGCAAACTGATGAAAATCTGGTGACTGGGTTGGGAACTGCCCTTCTGTTCTGTTGCATTTTATATTCTTGGTATGTATATCTTAAGTCCGGTTTCTCTGCTATGGTTGCAGTGTGGTGTTCAAGTCACTGAATGTAATTATAAAGCAAAAACACATCAGCCTACTACTCAGGAAGAGAGAGTCTTATTTAACACCATTCCAAACATAAATGTTTGTTAAATAGTTTAAAAGTGTGTTTGTAATGTCCTTTAAGTAACTGACAAGTGGATTAATTATAAACCTACTGTATGAATAGCAAGAAGTTAGGGGAAACCTCCATCTGTGCGTTCAAGTTTAGGGGCCATCCCAAGGGGCTACTTGCACATATAGTATAGGGTTGGTACAATTTAGTTCCAGTCAGATAAGAAGAGCTGTTTCTGCTGATATCCTAATGGAAATAACTTCAGTCAAAGTGTTACATGGCCAGCATTACTCTTCCTAATACTGTTTCTCTAACACAGCTCCATGTATGTTTTAATTGCCTTACTATAGGGAAGGGTTTTTATTACCCTCCCATGGAGGAGAGGAAGTAGGTGAAAGCTATCTCCAGAGCTATTTGGGGGCAGGAACTCACAGGAACGGAGTTCCGGCTGGCTCCCACGTTGGCCATGCCCAGCAGGAACTCATTAGCATAATAGGCCACACCCAATGGCAGAAACTCATTAGGATTGGCTACATTAGGGGTGTGTGGCCTAATATGCAAAGGAGTTCCTGCTACAAAAAAAGCCCTGGGTTTTGACAACAAACAAAGTAAATAAAATAAGAAGCAAATGGTGGGTGTGGCTGGATGACCACACTTCTGGTAACATGGGGTGTGGCCTAATAGGCTAATATGATGTGCTATCAGGGTGTGGCCTAATATGCTAATGAGTTTCTACTGTTGGGTGTGGCCTATTATGCTAATGAGTTCCTGCTGGGCTTTTTCTACAAAAAAAGCCCTGGCTATCTCGAAGTTGCTGTGGAATCTTCATAACTGAATACTGAGCAAGTCTTTTCAGGAAAGGTGGCAATATTTAGGCTATTTTGTGTGTGTGTGTGTGTGTGTGTGTGTTTGTGTGCTTGACTGGAAATCATGGTTGACTTCTCGCAACCCCCACTGGGGGCTTGGACATTTTTCAGAGAGGTGGCTTGCTATTGTCTGCCTCTGCATTCCGCCTCTGGTATTCCTTAGAGGTCACCCTTCCAAGAACTTGTCAGCGTCGGCCCTGCTTAGCTTCTGAGATCTGACGAGATCAGGCTTGCCTGGGCTATCCAGGTCAGGGGCAGGGTCTTTTGTTAATTTGTAATTTTCTCCATGGAAAACGTCCCCAGGGAGGCAGTTGAATAGACAAAACAACATCTTCAACTGTGGCACCTGTACTGAGTGAGAGATTACTTCCTGTGTGAGGCTGCATAGTTCCAGACAATTCTGCATGGAGCCATTTACAAGTGTTTGAAGCAGCTTAAGTATTCATGTTGAGTTGTTTGTAGAATATTGCTTTTGCAGAGGTATTTAATGCGGAAGTGTCTGCCACCTTCAGTTGGAAACATTTTATACAGGACTAAGTACAACTGGTGTAAACTCTGTGTGGGAAGGGATTAATGTAGAACTAGCGTGACTCTGCCATGCAGTTCTGTGCAAACAGGGCAGTTCTGCAGAATGAGATGTAAGGCTTCTTTTATTCCACTGAATTTAATCAGACTGGTGGCAGCTGAAAATGATGGTTATAAAAGCCATCTCTTAACAGCATCAAAAGGGTTACATCGCTTTGATTTATTTCTGTTTTCCTGTTTGTTTGTAGCTTGACCTCTACAACACGTGCAAGTTCTGACGCACTGCGAGGAATATATGCAACACCAGAAACTGAAGTGAGCTAATGTTTTCCTTTGTTACTGGAGTCTGTCTGCTTCAGCCAAGATTAGCCTCCTTGTGGAAATTCTGTACTGGAGATTTTTTCCACTCTCATTTTGCATTCTCTGCAGAAACCATTCGAAAGAAACCAAATGCAAAAGCATAGTACTTTCTTGTTCTTTCCCAATATTTCTGTGGGAATGTTGGCCTTCTGGACTCTATCCTCTGTGGTAATCTTTTAGTAACTGCTAGATAGCAGTCTTTTTATAGCCAGATGTCGTTTGTTTATATATGACCATCAGTGTTCTTGGCACTTTATAGAGCACACAGACAGAGGTTCTTGCCCCGAGGAGGCTGTAATCTAAAATAAATTGACATGGGAAACGAAGTGGAAAGGAAGATAGAGGCAGGGAAAGTTATGCATAGGTGATTGGACTTAGTTTCATTAGGAAGGGACGGGGGATTGAAGGGGTTTGTGCCAAAGGAAAATGTGAATTTATGACTGAGGTAGTAAGAGAGATGGACTCCCCCAGGTGGTGGGTAGAGATAGGTCCAGGTATGAGGGCCTGCAGGGTAAGAAGGGTAGAATTGTTAAGGAGAGCAGGAGACGTTTAGATGGCTGAGAGTGGTGGATATGTTGCAAGAAAACAGTGGAGAAATAAGGGGAGCAGGACAGCAGACAGTGCATAATCCAGGAGTGGACAGAAAGCCAGACTGGGGTTTATGGAGCAACATCTCACGGTCAGAGTAAAAAGAGAGGTTTTGGGTGGCTGTGCTGGATGGAGATGAGGGGGGACTAAGTGATGAAGTGGCACAGGTAGTAGATGGGAGGGAAATGAATTTTATAGTAAGGAATTTTATAGCAAGGCTGTAGTGCTGTTACCTAAAAACTGCATTTCTGCGCTGGAATCCCTGTGGAGAAGCAATGTGCAATAAATGTATAGAATGATTTGCAAACGCACAAAAATGGTATAGTGTTTTTTAGGCTGTCTTCTGCGGTCCTTTTAAAGTTTAAAGGGACTGCAGAAGACAGCTTGAAAGAGCTGTGGGACAGGAAGGCTCCCCCCCCCTGCAACTGTTTTTCCCACATGAGTCTGCAGTCCCTTTAAAGGGACTGCAGAAGACAGTCCGAAAAACAGCTGAGTGGTGGGGAGTGCTTTCTCCCCACTCAGCTGTTTTTGCAGTTTTCATAAGAAGCAGAAAACAGGGGTTTAAAGGGACTGCCTGAAAATTTCGTGGAGGTTCATGACCAGGAGACCCTTCACAAACTCCTGTTCCCAAACCACGAACAAAGCAAAATTCATGATGAATTTTGCTTTGTGGTTCGGTTTGTGCCCGTCCCTAATTGGAAGCTGTGATTTGAAGCATATTTCTGATTTTGCTTTGAAGGGCAAGAATGTCAGATGTAACAGCAAGTAATGGTTTGCAAAACAGGAACTACAGGAGGAACTCTGGAGCATGTGAACCCAAATGAATGTGCAAGCTTATATGTATCACACCAAAGTGTGGTTTTAGTATTATAAGTGAACTGTCTTGGTGTCTCAGATGTTTTTCCACTGCAGGGCAAATAGGGTCCCGGTCACACGGCCGTAAAATGCGGGGGGGAAAGCGTGGCAGTTTGGCCCGGAGCAAAATAACGCACGGCTGCCAGATCACAGGTCCCATCGAGGTCCCGTGGGTAGGGGCGAGGTGGCGATCGCATGACGATCCTGCAGCGCGGCAAAGAAGCAGCACGGTGCGATCTCACCGGCATGCGCAATTCTGCGGAGCAACGGAACTTTCGCTTTCCTCTTCGTGCGCATGCGCCGTTGGGTCTTGTGCGCATCCTGTGGAGACTTGGGGGGGGACCTGTTTGCGACGGGACATGGGCGGGCGCTGGATGCCACAGACTACCACCGGAAACGCGATCAGACGCCCACCCTTGCCCCACGGTTTCTGGAAACTAGTACCTCGGAGGTACTTCCCGCATCTTCGGCGGGAAGCCTCGGGTTCCCCACGGGAGCTCTACGCTTCCCAGATGTTGCGGTGTGATCGCGCCCAGAAAATCCGCCTATCATCCGTCTCAGTAGCGTGGCTAATGCTCCGTGTGACCACAGCCTAGGTTGATTACTTCTCACCTCATTTGAACTAGCAACAGTCAGCAATGCTGGACATGTGATTTAGCTCACAATTGGGAAACACTCTTTAATGTTTTGACACTTCTTTTACTGCCTCAACACAGATGGATTCTGTGTGGAAAGACAGACCTCATTGCCTGAGAGAGCTGGGAACTGCTGTACTGAAGTGTACCATAATAGAATTAGTTTTACATCATTTGTTTTTAAAGAGCACTACAAGAGCCATTGCATGGAAACAAAGAAAGGGCTTGCAGCTGGCAACTCACTGTGTTTCATATTCTTCCCCCTGACAGTGGGCCTTTTTGTCTTCTGATTAGAAATGTAAACATAATTCTCTAGATGCATCTGTTAAACAGGGAGCCCTTCTTACATGTAGACTAAAGATGGTTACTCACATTAAGAGAAGTGTTTGCATACATGCCAACATTGCTAATTGCCTTTCTCAAAAATTTCCAAGCCTATACCTCTGATAAGTACATCTTAATTGCTGTTTTTCTCCCTCAGATGTGGCTGGGCTGACTATTAGAATATATGATGTACTTTTTTGGATATTGTAATACAGATGGAAGGGGGGAAATGGATTGGTTGTTAGACATTTAAACTTCAAGGTGCAAGGTATCATGAGTCCTGGCTCAGTAAAATTAGGTGAAACTAGTTTGCCTTTGTTAGTTTTCCTTGGTGATTGTATACTTTAATAATGTGATGACTGAGAAAAAGTGTTTTTAAGTTGACGTGTGGAATTTTTCAAACGATGATTTGGAGGTAAACCTTTAAAAAAGAAAACTTAAAAGAAAATGGTTTGCTAACTTACAGAGAGAATGCTTGTTGAAAGCATTGGTGTATATGTGACCTGAATAATACAGAGGAAATACACAGTAGGGTGGTGGTGCTTGTGTGTTCAAACTCCACTGATGTCTGGTAGACTTAAGACAGACTGTATAGTTGTGTTCAAAAAATAATGACCCTAAAAGATTTTTTAAAAATTAATATAGGACAATAGCACATAAAAATGTGTTTCCAGTGAAGGATTAAAACATGTAGTAAATGATTGTCTAGAAAACTGCAACATGACGCTATCTGTGTCTTATGTTAACATAAATGTTTCTAGGCAGCTTACTTCTTGCCTTAAGCTTAGGGGACATCCAAAATATTAGATCTCTCTAACTTGCTTCGTATACAGTAACACGTGAAACCTTTTAGTCTATAAATCTGTTTTCCAGCAATTACTGCTGAAGTGTAGCTTACTCTCCAGAAGAGAATTAATTTTTCATTTAGAAAAGGTTCCACGCCTTATGCTTCAAAATTATATTTTTGTTCAAACTTTGCAATTGTTGTAGGTCTGGATTGTATTCCTTCGATCTGTAGGAAATGAATCTTCCTTTCTTTTTCTAGCTGTATCTGAAGAAGTGAGCAATGATTCATGAAAGCTCATACGCTACCACAAATGGGATAGAGCAGGGAGGGAAAGAAGTACTTTTCTCCCTGTCTCACAATACAAGAACTCATGGGCACTCAAGGAAATTGTTGAGCAGTCAGGTTAGAACAGATAAAAGGAAGTACTTCTTCACCCAAAGAGTGATTAACACATGGAATTCACTGCCACAGAAGGTGGCGGTGGCTACAAGCATGGACAGCTTCAAGAGGGAATTAGATAAACATATGGAGCAGACGTCCATCAGTGGCTATTAGCCACAAGGTATAGATAGGAACTCTTGGTCTGGGGCAAGTGATGCACTGTATTCTTGATGGTTTGGGGGGGGGGCAACAGTGGGAGGGCTTCTAGTGTCCTGGCCCTATTGGTGGACCTCCTGATGGCACCTGGTATTTTTGGCTACTGTGTGACAGAGTGTTGGACTGGATGGGCCATTGGCCTGATCCAACATTGGCTTCTCTTGTGTTCTTATGTTAAATTTTGTTAGTCTTTAAGGTGCTACTGGACTCCTACTCTTTTCTACTACTACAGGCAGACTAACACGGCTACCCATCTTGATTTTTTCCCCCTGTGTTTGTTTTGTAGGTAGCACGCTGCTGCTTCTGCTGTTCTCCAGATGAAGAAAGTAAGACTTGATTTCTTCATTGACTTGATATGTATTCATATTGGCATTTTTTAGAATAGGCAGCCTGTAGTGCTGGGAACTCCAGTTTGTGTAGAAGTACTTATCAGTGTGAAGGTTAGAAGGAAAAACTGTGGTGCTGTTGATATTTGTTCTTCCAGTTGGTCAAGGCTTTAGAACAGGAAGGCATGTCTAATACATGAAAACTAAAAATGAGTGAGTGGGATCCCACAGATCTGTTTGGCTAGCAGGGGTGCTTTCTTCCAGAGAAACGAGCTTATCCCAGCAATAAGGTATTCAGAAAGCCTCTTGCATCAGAGGAAAATCCACCTGCTAGTGGAATAGATCTGAGTTATCCAGGCATACATTTCCAAAATCTCAACTCTAGGTGTATGGGCTAGAATTATGCTTTGATAGAATTAATGTTTGTGTCAACAGCAAATCCCTTGATTCTGTGCCTACTTTCTATCCAGGCCAGTCCAGTCACCTTTATTGGCATGTATAGTTTCTATCCTGTCCTTCCTGTAAGGCGCTCAGGGCCCCCCTCTCCTTTCATTTTATCCTCACAGTAACCACGTGTAGTGGCTAGAGCAGGGGTTCCAAACCTTTTGAGCTTGTGGGCAGCTTTGGACTGCTGACACTGGATGGTGGACATGGCCACAAAATGGCTGCCACAAGAGGCGGAGCCAACCAAAAAATCTCAGGGAATTAAGTCATGCCTAACTCTGACGGTAATTTTCAAACATTTCAGGCAGAAGCTCTGTTAACAGGTTGTGTTTCAATATGAACATATTATTTAAAAACACTTTCTTGCATCGACCTAGCTTATCTTCAGTTACGCAGTGAAGCTGCTTGTTCTGCGGTGGCAGCTGCTACCAAAGGAAAAAGTCCTGCTGGGTAAAAGCCCAATCTACTTTCTAAAAATGCTCGGCAGGCATGAGGAAATATGTCTGCTGTCACTGTGGTGCCTACATGTTGGGGAACTCCGTCTAGGCCTGTGGAGACTTGGGTTCAAATCCCCTGCTCACCATGGAAAAACTTACCAGGCCAGTTATACCCTAATCTATTTCACAGGACTGTTCTGAGGATAAAATGGAGGTGTGCAGAACTACATACATCATTGTGCTCTCCTTAGAGCAGGGATTCCCAAACTTTTTCAGGCAACTTACCCCTTGGTTCCATAAACTCATCCCCAGTGCCGCCTAGCCTATGCTAGAAAAGGAATCTTGGTTTGCACAACTCACTAAGGAAGACAACAGTAACATTCAAAACTATAACAATTAATTACACATTTATTCGTTTTTCCCTCGGTCTTTATATTTATTTACTCACATTTTTCCTTCTAATCCTGACATTTCCCTTTAAAAAATCCATTTTTTCCTTTTTGAAAACAGTTACACAGATATTTTAAATCCTTATTTACCCTAGAAATGTTAATATTGGGTGGGCTGCAATTAAAAAAAGCCACTTATATAGCTAAAAAAGCACATTTCACAATCAACAGATTCAGTAACCAAGAACACAGGAAAATAAAGACCACACTCAATACTATTCTGTTAAGGACTTACCAGTAAAAACTTGGAAAACCACAGCAACAAAAACACATGCGATGACAACAGTTTCTCAAAACGTGGTATACTAGTCTGAGTAGAGTTCTGGTGCCATATTTACTAAAAATTCCAACAGTTTCTACCAGATTTCAGCACTAGCCTGGTCAATCATAATAAGCACTAGCCTGGTCAATCACAATAAGTCAAAGAGGCCCACCTCCAGCATCCCCCTGCAGCCCCCTTGCCTCATGGCACCCCCCCCCCAGGTAATCCATCCCCCGGGGGTGGTACCACCCACTTCGAGAACCCCTGCCTTAAAGGATGAGCTGGATGAACAATGTAATAAATAATAACCCTGTGATAGAATGAGAAATAGAGACTAGCTCACATTCCTGTATATGCAATCCTAAACTGAGTCACATCCTTCTAAGGCCATTTACTTTAACAGACTTCAAAGGGTGTAAAACTATTTAGGACTGCACCATTGGTAAAATTCGTGGTTAAATGGAGATTTGAACCTGGATTTCTCCAGTCAAAGTCCAGCACTTTATCTGCCATACTGGCTTTGTTATCTGCATGAACACCAAGCCACAGCTTGTGCTAATTCTGTCAGGGTGGTGTTTTTTTTAATGCCAAAAGCAAGCTTAAATTTAGCTTTGGGCACAAATAACTCCAGAAATAGAAGAAATCATAAAATGTAGAGTAGGCCCCTGTAAGTTGTGGTTTAGCATTCACGCAAATGACACGCAGTGGTAAATTACATACAGCCCTGCATCTAACCTGAGGACCACAGGCATCTCTGTGGTACAGACCTAAAACAGATGGCTTTTGAGGCAAGCACAACTAAATTTAGTTATGGCTCCTCCTTGCAATTTTGTGGCTGTCATCTGCATGCTCCATGTGGCTGGGAGCTCCTTGCGGCTAGGAGCAAATGAATGGCATCAAAGAGTGGAATGTCCTGCTGGGAATGAGCTCTGATCCCTGCCCACGACCCAATTCTGCCTGTATGGCAAGAGACACCTGATCCTACAAGGAAGCTCCCATCCTTGCTGCCTTTCATGGGTTGGATGCAAAACGTGATGGAATGTGTCGCTGGCCATCAGTGGTGTTAGGGGGATCCAGTTATTCTCTTTGATTGAGGAAAATTGCTCAGGAAGTGGAGCTTTGTTACTTCTGTCCTGGATTGCTCTGAAAGCTTTCTGCGGCTAGAAGGCAGCTACTAAATCTGTGTTTGAAAGGCTGTCCCTCTAGCCCACAAGCAAAACCAAAGCAGGAGGCAAATGAGCGTCTTTGCCTTGTTAATCCTAGAATGCGTGTTGTGTAAACTCCGAAGTACACTGAAGCATTTTTAGATTTCTTAAATGCAAATAAAATGTTCTCAAAACCAAAGACACACACATATTATATTTTAATTTTTTGGATACATTGTCCCATTTTCCATCTATGCACAGCTGTTTTGTTGGGGGGGGAAGAGATTTGCTGTTTCATGTATAGAAAAATGTATTCAATTGCACGAGAAAGAAGGGCATTCAACGTGAAAGGATAAACACAAGGTTGTTAAATTACAGGCTTAGTTTAAGAAAATCAGGGAAGACATATCTGGATGGAAAATGGTTTATGTCTTATTTTTTTCCTGCTGTGTGTTGCATGTGTATGTGTGTTTAATACTCTTCTTGATTGCATTAGAACTCTACCCCCCCCCCCTTTCACTGTCTGAGCACCCCATAATGAGGAAAGCGTGACTTTTAATTATTTGGATACTGAAATATATCTTTAACATGAATTTCAGGTTCTCAGTCTAAGGTTGCTGAGCAGTGTTGGCTCTTATCTGGGCTGCCAGTCATGGGTTTGTTGCTGACAAAAGTTGCATTCATACTCTATTTCTGCTATTTGTTACATCTTTTGCACGTGTTTGTGTGAAGAGAAGACTGAGCAGTAGCATATGAAGCAGCCCTGAGCCCAGCGAGGTTGGAGGAGGAGCAATCAGAGGAAGGCCCTGAAATGGTTCACCCACCCGGTTGGCAAGGGAAGGCTTCATGGTGGTGGCAAGAGCCACGTGGATGGATGGGAAGTCCAGTAGCCTACCCAGAGAATAAATCTGAAAGAAGGATAACATTTAATTAGTCTTTAAGTCAGGGTGGCTTCCTCATCTCATCTCCACCAGCCGTGTTTGGACCTTGTTGCTAATCCTTTCTAAACCCCACCCAGTAAATGTTTAATTTGCCACTGAACCCCTGCTCCTTGATGCAGCTTACCCAACTCTTCAGTTTCTGTTTGCCTGCCACCTGGCCACACACACTTCTTTTGTATGCATGCATTTATTTATTTTATTCCTACCTCAGGCAAATTGGCATCCTAAAATAGCTTACAGTAGAAATCCACAACAATATACAGTACAGGGAGCAACCAGAATGGTTGCCAGTGAAGACGTTTGCAGGACTCTGTTTGACTAGTGGAGTAGTACAGTTTCTCTTTGGCACTAAACCTCTGAATCCCAGAGCCAGGAGGCAACATCCGGGGAAGGCCTTGGCTCCTATGCCTTGTTGTCCCTACAGAAGAACTGGTTGGCCACTTTGTGAGACAGGATGCTGGACTGGATGGATCACTGGTCTGATCCAGCAGGGTTTTTCATATGTTCTTATAGCATCGTTCAGCACTGCAAATGCCAGGTAGGAGGGAATAGGTGTGAGGACGGTAATGACTGAAGCCCTCTTCCCCAAGTTTTTGGGAGCTGCAGCTATTATTTTTTGTAGCCGCCTTGCCCCTTCTGTGTAGCACCTGAAGCTTGAATTGTTTTGTTTGTACTCAAGGAGATCTTTTCCCCTTTGGCCCTGGAGATGAAACTGAGCTACAACTGCAGCTGCTGGTTACCTCTATGGTGCCATAATGCATGTGTTTGAGCAGCACATACTTTACACAGTGCAGCCTTGAGGTTTTTCTCTTTGCATTCAGGGAAATGAAATATTAAAATCTTTAAAATTAAAGGATAGATTTCCCTAGACAGCATCTGTGATTTTCATTCTTATTTGCCAGCATGAGCAGGTCGGCGCATCTTTGCATCTGTTCTGTAGGAACACCCATCTAATTTGAGGCTGCTTCCCTTGAATTACACCACATGATTACTGAAAGCCTTGAAGAGCAGTATTTTTTTTTCCTCCAGAGTTTGCGTTCAGATGGCTGACTTGGTTTGAAGTGACTATTTAGGCTGGAGGCTTTTCCTAACGTTTTCCTTTGTGCTTGGTTTCTGCAGCTGATGTGGAGGAGCATGTTGGTAAAAGAGGTGGCCAAAGAGTCGTTTATGACGAAAAGAAGGGCACCGTGTACAGCTATGCCTATTTCCACTTTGTTTTCTTCCTGGCTTCTCTCTATGTGATGATGACTGTCACCCATTGGTTCCAGTAAGTCTCCTTCTCCAAACTATGATTCTTAGCACTGAATTGTGCAGTCATAGTGGCTTACTATGAGCTGGCACATTCCTAGTTAATGTCATCTGAGCCACAAACCCTCACCTAATGGCCTTAGGAAACCCAGTGTTTTCTTCATTTTATTCCGAGAACTCCGTTTAGCACATGGGCTTTTAGAGTAAAAACAGTAAAATACTTAAAACATAAAATAAAGCAACCTGATCATACAAATTCTAAATATAACCTAAATTGGACTGTTACCCAAAGGCTGCAACCCAGTAGTACCATTAATAGGGTGGACCTGCCTGGTGATTACTGCAAATTGCAACTAATCAGATTAGTTGAGACTTTACATGCTGCTGAAATACATTTGGCAACAGCCAAAGTGGCAAGTCTGTCACTTCTAGATAAAAGACTGAGAAAGTGATAGTCATGGGAATGAACAGGAAATGTTACGAGAAGTAGAGTACAGAACATTAAATAAGTTCTTCGTCTGCAGTATAAAGTTTGCATGAGAAAAATAAATGTGTTAAAGTTTCAGGCACCTACAGTCCACAAGGGCAAACCTTTTGATCCGGTGAAGTATTAGAAAATCTACCAGTGTTTTCTCAGCTATGCAGCATGGGGGTAATGATTCTGATATACAGTAAAGATTGCTCAGATAATATGTGCAGCAGTTTGAACCCTTGATAGAATGTACTATAGATTAAAGACATTAAACCCTGATTATTTATATATTTAAAATATTTATATGCAATCTCTTCAGAGTTGTGTTTGAGGCAGTTTACAATTAAAAACACAATAATAATCTCCACTTTTGGCTAGTTGCCTTAATTTGAATTGGATGATGACACTTAAGATGCTAGGCTTACATCAGAACAATGTGCTGATACATTTGCATGTCCTCTTTAAAACCATTGTTTAGGGGAGGAGTGTGTGATTCAAGAGTTATGTCACAGAAATGACAAAAAGCAACACTTCGGAAGCAAGTGTCAGATTTCAAATTAACAACTCATTGGACAAAAGGGCATTTTTTCCAAGTAGTTGAAAGTGAAATTGCTGTACTTCTAACAAAAGCATACATCTTGTCATTACAATCAGCCTCCTTGTATTGGCTACTAGGAATGGGCATGAACCTTAAAAAAGGCAGTTCAGTTTGGGTTGGCCCCCAAACCAAGCAGGCCCCACACAAACCCAACTGGTCCAGCAAGTTTGATTCCCCCTTTCTCCCAGTCGTGGTGAGCTGTGACCAGGAAAATGGCGAAGTCACCTGGCAAAGGACTTCCCTTCTCCGTTTTTCCTAGCCATCGCCAGACATTTAACTCTTTTGTTTTGCTCCCTCCCACTTTGAAGAGGGAGGGGCAAAACAGAAGGGTTAAATAGCTGCCAGCCATATAAGCCTAATAGCTGAGATAGCAGCCATTTTATCCTTTGGTTTTGCTCCCTGCCACTTTGGGGGGGGGGGGGGGGAGCAAAACCAAACTGCTGAACTGGCCAAAAGTCCAGTAAATGTTTGGGGAATGTGCCTTCTCCGAACATCGGTTCCTGAGCTCTGAACTAGCCAAGTTCAGCCCAACTTTTGGCACAAGCTGGTTTGTGCCCATCCCTATTGGCTACTTTCCAAACCTATATGCTAAGAAAATAAAACACCTGGCAGTCTAACGTTTGGTCCCAGCTAAATGAATAGCAAGTATGATGAAAGGCATAGAAGAACAAGACTTGCTAGGATGAATCAGCATGACTTCTGTCAAAGGAAGTCCTGCTTTACCAACCTTTTGTGGACTAGTGTGCTTGGTAGCACTCTCATAGAAATAGATTATCTGCTCGACTTTATATGCTTGAACTATCGGGAGGCTCCTCACCCAAGGTCCCTGAATAAACTTAGTGGTCATGGGAAAAGCCATTTAATGAATTGATTCAGAATAGACCAAAAAAATCATTCTGCACAATGCATAGGTAACTTATTTACTGCCACAGGACATGGTGATGCCCAATAGTTGAAGAGGCTTTTAGAAAGGATACAACAAATTCAAATGAATGGAAAACAGTTCTTTTAACTTTAAGTAGCTATGAACCTAATGGGGCTTCTATGTTCAGAGGCAGTCTACCTCTGGATACCAGATTCTAATGCCATGCACATTCACTAATCTGAATTTATTTTCACCTTTTATAGTTATGAAAGTGCTGCAATTGAGAAATTCTTTGCTGGAACATGGTCCATATTCTGGATTAAGATGGCTTCATGTTGGGTGTGTGTCCTCCTCTACCTATGGACTCTTCTGGCTCCTCTCTGCTGCCCTGCCAGAGAATTCTTAGTGTGAAATTTCATCTCTTTGTGGTTTCGGGTATGGAAAAAATACATCTTGTTTATTGGCTACCCTAACACTACTGCAGGGTATTGCTTCCTCTCAGAAGAAACTGGATGTCTTCGGCCCGGATTTTAAAACCTTTCTTTATGTGATCTAAGAGTTTGAAGGAATACTAGTCAAAAGCAACACCTCAGTATGGAACTAGAAAGTACAAATAGTGTTACCCATCCCAGCGTAAGTAAAAGCGTTTAAATGATGGAGTGTCCATTGTGCAAACATTTGGTGTCCCTCCTGTGTGATGCAGAATGTCTGCTTGCTCAGAGGCTTCTGAACCTTCTTGCAGTGACTGATTTTGTCACAAATGAAAAACAGCTTTGTATAGAATTAGAAAGTGGAACAACTTGATTAGGGATAGTTTTGTTGGTGCAGGTAGAAATTGCATCGGCTCAAGGGTTTCTTTTCCTGTATTAGATACTTATCATAAATTATTGGAAATATGGATTGTGAAAGAGAAAGATTTATGGTTATAGAAATATTTAATTTATGATAATGAAAGGCACCTTTATAAATCACTGGGTGATGGAATGTGGAATTTAAGATGCTAGACACTGTAAATGATGGTGCAATTAATGAGCAGTTACTGTGGGCTACTCTGGGAGGAATTGCATCAAGTAAAATATTCATAATGGGACCAGGGAACAACAAAGTTAGATCCCCCCCCCTTTTTATCTGAGCTTGCCCTAATATGTCTGAGGAATCTGCCATTTTGGAATAGTTAAATGAATACATGCTACATCCTATCCGGATCTCTGACCCCAAGAAACTGAAATGCGGGACTTGCAAAATCTGGTGACAGTGGACGTTGTAAAAGTAGCTGTGTCCTGGAAAATATTTAGGGAATATCAAATGTTATTTCCAGCTGTTTGGGATATTTTTCTTTAGATGCCAGATTTTGTCTTTTGATGCCAGATTGCCCCTCTAAACTTGTTTTTTTTATGGTAATAACTTGTAACTTTAAAGTGCAATTACAAGTAGAGATTACAATGAGAGCATTTTCCAGTCATATTTCAGGTCTTTGACTGGTGTTGAAAATCAAGATGCTGCCTTTCTAGCTTATTATTAACTTGGGATGCCATGCCTTTGGATGCCCTCCTTTTGGATGAGAGCTAACTTTTTAAAATAACTTTTTACTTTTTAATCCTGAAGAAGAAACTTATAAACGTTGGCTCACATAAAGCCGCTTTAATCAGTGTTTCATGTGTAAGCATAGTTAGGTTTGAGTCCAGTAGGATGATAGAGACCAACAAGAGATTCGGGGCATGAGCTTTGACAGGCTTATACCCTGAAACTCTTATTGGCCTCTAAGGTCCTACTGGACTCAAATCCACCTGCTGTATCGCAGACCGAAACGGCTGCTCTCTGAAACCATATGCAAGCATGCGTCAGCTGTTAACATTACATGTTAACAAGTTGGATGTCACCACTTCATTTTTAAAGCTAACACATGCCACTGTTTCTAATTAAACAAATGGCTGGCAGTCATTTAAATAATAGCTTTCTGCAAACAGGGTAGCTGTGATATGTTGCCTATCCTATTCCAGTCTCTTATGGAAAGAGTTAAAGCATGGTAATATGGCACAGGCACATTGCGCCCTTACTATCAATGTTCCTTTCCTTTTAACAATTAAGTGACTTGAAAGTTAGAAAGGTGTGATGAATGCGTTGGTGCAGCCTGCCTGTGCAATGACACCACACTTTGATTGCTACATAATATATTAACTACTTTAATTTAATATTTCCTTAATACTTGGGAATGGCAGCCATCTGCTGGTGAAAGAGAAGGGAATGCATGCTTTCAGGGGGATTAAAGAGTCCTTGCCTGTGCCTGTCCATGAACAGAAGGCTTGAACTCAGTAGAAGTTATTGTTGGTCCTGTTGCATGTCCTTTGTTCTGTAATATCTTCCCTGGTCCGTCCACCCCCCACCCCCGATAGTAGCTTTTTCAGGGCTTGGTGAGCTTATTGGAGCTAGAAGCTGTACAGAGCTTATTTTGGAGTGTTCCAGAACTGAAAGCAGCAGTGCTGCTTAAGAAGCTTACCATTAAGAGCTGGATACATTTAGGCAATCAGGGTATTAGGGAAGCCCGGTTCACTGAGCTCAGAGCTGGTGACACCTGGTTTCTTACCAGATTAATATAATAAAATTTAGCTGTTGTGCTTTTAAGGAGGGGGATTAGTGTGCATGCACCCTGAAAACATTTGGGAATTGTATTCCTCTGTTCATGTACACTTTGGTCATAATATACACAGAACAAAGTGAGTCCATTCTAGTTAATGCTACCTTCATTCAATTGTTGTGGGTGCTGGGCCTACTGGTTTTCTGTGAATTGTAGCTCTCTTTTCATGATTTAATATTAGATGTTTCTTGGAAATAGATGTAGATTTTCCATTCTCTGAAATTCAACTTCTTCTTTAAATGTACAGCGATATCTTGCCTTTTGAGCCAGTTACACAAAAGGGAGCTGGATTGCGCTCAGGAAGAGAAAGTGGTGCTACTGTCTGAAAGTGACCTTTTAATCAGCTCCAGCTCTTGCTCAAATGCTGAGTCTAGCCCCTATTCTAATGTATGAGAAGGGAAAATGGATTGTTAATGTAATAGGTGGCATCTGCAAAAGACAAAATGGGGTTCGTAACATGCGGGTACTCGATCGTGACCCTGCCAAAAGGGAATCCCAGGGACTATGTTAAAATATACTCCCTTTCTTACACTACTGACAACCTTTTCTAAATTCTGCCAAAACATTTAAGGCATGCATATCTAGAGTACTCTTAAGGTCTTGTGGAATATTTCATTGGCATATTCGCACATGGCTTTTCATAGCATTTAAATTTTACGTTACTGATAATGTGACAGACACTTCTGCGTTATCAAGAAAATGCATCTTGAAGTTTTTCATTTCTATTAAAAAGGCTTCTCCACTATAAAGTTCAAGTGTACTAGCTGCTGTAATGCAACAAGGCATTTAAAATCTATATATTTTCAAAAAAAATTCCACTGTTTGAATACTTACTACAAAGAACATGATTTAAAGTTTGGGCTCCAGTAGCAATTAAAGTGTTTTGCCAAAAATTTGGCCTCCAGAAAAGCAGAACACTGTGCTGAGGTAAAAAGAAATCTAAACAATATTGCATATGCCTTAATTTTATTTTGTTCTTCATAGTGTTAACTTCTAAACGTTTCTGGACAGTGTTTGAGACCATTATGTCAAGAAATGTGAACGGCTTGTGGATTATCGCCATAAGGTTGAATCTGATTACTTCCATCTACTGTATGAGGGGTTGTACTGTCTATTTTACTCTTTTTTTTCTTTCTAAAATGTATTTATTGGAATGTCAGCATTTTATAGGCATAATTCAAGTAGAGTTCATTCCCATCCACATTCTGTCCCCAAAAAAGTTCTCTATCAAAAAGTCCAAGTAACCCTGATTCTCAGCATTACTTCATAGAGCAGTAAACCATAATATAAGCTTGTTTTTCATTTCACTAAAAAGAATTCAGAACAGACTCAAAACAGAAAGCATGACTACCATGCACAAGGCCAAGAGAAGGCTATCAGATGCCAAGTGTCCAGGAGGATGGGCGATCACATTACTCTGGTGCCTCACTGAGTAGAAGGAAGTGATTGGGTCCAATCCACAGTATTTTGTAAAGCAGTGCTATCTCCCTTCCAATGTACTACCAGTTTCTATTACTTTAACACATATTATTGAACAGTTCCTACTTATTTAGAATGTTTTTTATGTACGCTTTAATGACTGAATACAAATTAAAATATTTTCCATAGTTTTTTTAAAATGTGTTTTTTTAAATCTTTTGATACAACTTCGGCCTTTTTTTACATTTCTGTTTGTGGGAGGGAGGGGCTTTTTTCACAATCGTAGCTACAACTGGTTACATTTTGGTCTATAGCTTGTAGAAATTGTAAGACTTTCTAAGTTTTTGAGACTTGGAAAAAAAATCATACAGTGTACACTGTATATGGTTTTAAAGCATGTTACTGGGTTTTCGAGAAATGTCTACATATTGAGTGAAAGTATCATAACCATTTAACAGTCCAATAAACTTCTGTTTATTTGAAAGTGCATCTTGTAGTCCTTTATATATATTAGACACCCATATTTTGCCACTTGTTTGCACTTATCCACATTTGCAAGTGAAGACTTCCTAACAAAGCAGCTTTCTTTCTTAACATCTTTCATGAAAATAGCCTAAGCATTGGCCACATCACTTTTGCTATGCCCTGAACCTTTGCAGTGTGAAGGAAAGAGTTTGTGCCCCATTCCAGGCTTCTTAGTAGAATGATGTTTTGCTGTAAAAACAGATAGGAGTCCTGTAGTGTCTTAAAGATTACCACAAGTATTGTCACATAAACATTTGTGGACACAATCAGGTAAGTTATCCTCAGTTAGCAGCTATATGTATACACTGATTGTTAATGTACTAGGACTGAAAATACTGGGGTAACACAGTGCAAGCAATATAGTCTGTGACATTTATATGCAAGGCTTAGTTACAGAAATATTGCAAACATATGAACACACGTAGCTGCCTTATACTGAATCAGACCCTTGGCCCCATCAAAGTCAGTATTTGCAGCTGCTCTCCAGGGTCTCAGGCAGAGGTCTTTCACATCACCTCTTACTTGGTCTGGAGATTGAACCTGAGATGGTGACCTGCATGCCAAGCAGATGATCTACCACTAAGACACAGCTCCTCTTGTCATTTTATGACACAGTTAACAATTTTGTTATCTATACCTATACCTAGAGAGAGAGGTATGTGGTGTGTGTGTGTGTGTGAGTGTATCCAATATTATGGAACCAGCTCCCCCAGGAGATCCGTGCCCTCCGGGATCTCCGCCAGTTCCGGAGAGCGGTGAAGACGGAGTTATTCCGCCAAGCATTCAACAACCCAGATTGAGTATGTCAGCATTTTATAGTTGCCGTCTTGTGTATGTTATAATGCGGGTAAATTGTGATTTTAATGTATTGTATATTGTTTTAGAGGTATTGTTTTATTGTTTTTATTGTTGTAAGCCGCCCTGAGCCGCTTCGGCGGGAGGGCAGGATAAAAATCAAATTAAATAAATCTCACCTTCCCAGAAACCTGCTCAGAGCAGTAATTTATTAAACATGGAGTCTAAAACTGTAATAATTTATGAAACAATGATTTATGTAATGTAACAGTCTTAAACTGTTAAATACTCTATCAGTTAAATACAATAAAAGTAAAAGATGGCATAAACTTATATGGAGGGGCAATAAATAATCGTCTTGTAAGAAGGGAAAGGGGGGGAAGTGAGGGGGGAGAGGAGAAAGAAGGGGAGGCCAATCCTAGATGACACCTATCAAAAAGGAGACTGTGTTGTCGAAGGCTTTCACGGCCGGAGTTCATTAGTTGTAGATTTTCCGGGCTGTATGGCCGTGGTCTTGGCATTGTAGTACCTGATGTTTTGCCAGCAGCTGTGACTGGCATCCTCAGAGGTATAACACAGAAAGATGGAGTACTCTCTGTGTCTGGAGTACTCTCTGGGACTGTTGCTGCCCCCAACCATAAGCCTGGCGGAACAACTCTGTTTTGCAGGCCCTGCAGAACTACCAGGTCCCACAGGGCCCTGGTCTCTCCTAGAAGAGAGTTCCACCTGGCTCTGATAGAGGACAGCTGGACGCTCTTTGGGCTGGGAACCACCAGCAGATTTTGATCGCTTGAGTGTAGCACTCTTCCGGGGGACATACCAGGAAAGGTGGTCCCAAAGGTATGCTGGTCCCTGACTGTTTAGGGCTTTAATGGTCAGCAACAAAACCTTTATCAGTCCCTTTTGCTCTCATCCATGACAAAGGCAACTCTGAAGCATCCTCTCTTCAACCACGTTCAACCCTTCTAATTTCCCTCATGCACAAGACTCTAATTTGCCATCTTCTTCGTTCCAGGACGAAAACATCATGAGTTCTATGAAGCTCTTTGACAATGTGATGTAATTGATACACACACACACACACACCCCTGCAAACTGAGACATGCTTTTTTGTGTATGGAGACTTTAGTCCATGGAAGCTTATCCCACAGCAACCTGTTTTAACCTTTCAGGTGCCACAACATTCCTTTTGTGTTTGCTACAATGGCCCAACATAGCTACCACTCTGTAATTTTTCACTGTAAACCCCATTGCGATGCTCATAGACAATCCAATGTGCTTTCTGTTATCCAGAAGAACATGTTGTAAGATCATCTCACTGCAAACAGCTGGGTTCTGTACTGTGCATAAGGAGACAACTTATTACACAACAGCTTAAATAGGTTTATTTAACATTCCATATTGCAAGGGCAAAAACCAGTTCTTCTGAGTGTCTCCCCAGCAGTGCCACTCTGTGGACTGTTTAAAATAAATGTGCATATGTCAGTGAGCTATGGACAGGTCAGACAGCCCTACATTTCAAACTTTGGAAGAAAGTTTTGACTACAAGATGCCTTATATAATAATAATAATAATAATAATAATAATAATAATAATAATAATAATAATAATAATAATAATAATAATAATAATAATAATAATA